CACACACACACACACACACAATTAAAGAGGTCTGTCAGTCAGAGTACTGTGCTGTAGCCCAGGGGCAGAGTTGGGAGCTCACTGCTATCCATGGTCTAATGACACACGTCAGTGGATACCGCCATGGCCCAGTGCTAGATGCTCCTCTTTACCTGATTGTGTGAGGGGGAGAGAGCTGCCGTCTTCAGTGTTCTGGAGTGTTTAGTAATGTCATAAAAGCTGACTTTCTGCTAGGGTTTATGTATCCTTGCCCATATATTCCTGGTTCCATTAATAAGTGCAAAGGTGGCAGTATTTTATGAGTGTCAATGCATGATGGATGGTGTGTCACAGTAATGCTGGGTGTCGGCTGACTCACAGACCAGACAGCCATCCGGCCTCAGCAGTACAAACCAATTTTGAAATTATTTTAGATGTATGTGTTGTGTTTTGCCTGCATGGGTGTCTGTGCACCACATGCTTGCCTCGCGCCCCCCAGAGGCCAGAAGAAGACATCAGACCCTCTGGAACTAGAGTTAGGGATGATTGTAAGCCACCATGTGGATGTGGGAAATCCAACCTAGGTCCCCTGCAGGAGCGGCAAGTGCTCTAAATGGGGGAGCCATCTCTCTAGCCCCCAGAGTACTGCTATATAAAATGCTACTCTTCCACTGAGGAACACAAGACACAGCTACAGAATCAGTTAAAGGGTAGAGAACCAGGTCTGAAGGTACAAGCCTATATATATACTCAGCACTAGGAAGATAAAGGTAAGACAACCAAAAGTCATAGGACTTTAGTAGATTTGAAGGTGGAAACCAGCTTCAGCATCCAGGCAGAAATGATGGTCCCAGTCTAAAATCATGTGTTAGCTATCCTCCCACCAGACACCTGTGTGTTGCCTTTTGCCTCCCAGTGTCCACGGGAGAGCCTGCTGTGTATGTGCACCTCATTGAATAGGTGGCCAACAAGTCCCAACATGTCATACACATAGCACGACTCAAAGGGGGAAGACAGGCTCTGGCTGCCCAATAGTTCTCCCTGCAGCTACACACTCGACACAGGCTCAAAATTCACCTCGAGGCCCTGGTCACTAATCATCACAGCTTGGGACAAGGGTTATCTGTGACCCTTGGTGTCTCAGCTTGATCTGGTGATCTGTCAAATCCCTCAAGAAACGCTTGGAGGCATAGTTTCCACTCAAGTTGAACAGGGTGAGCTGGGTACAGCGTCTCAGAGCCGGCAGGATGGCACTGAGTTGGGAGTCCGTCAGCTGACAGCCCTCCAAGTCCAGGGTCATCAAAGCAGGTGCAGTTTTTAGCAACAGAACTCGCAGGGGCTCTGGGCTGAAATGAGTTAGTTTGACGCATTTCAAAATCAGGTGTTTTAGCTGGCTCATGCACAGGAACTCAGCCAGATGGGTCCAGTCTGATTTTGAGAGAAAGCAATGGGTCACCGACAGGGTCTCTAAGGGTGCCCTTAACCACCTAAAAGAAAGCAAGAAGACAGTTCTGGGAATATGCGTGTGCTCCAAGGTCTTTCTAATCACATGGTCAAAGCCAGTAGCCACAGCACTTCATGACAGCCTGCTCCCTCAACTTGCTACTGAGAGGCCTGTCACTGTCGCGGTAGGATCGGCCCAATCCCAGATTGCAAATGCCTTTCCACACATGGAGGACCAACCAAAATCAATGCGGGCAATATCTGGCGATGTGCCTGTGGGTTCACTGACTGGTCTCTTCACAGCCGGTTCCTGTTCAGAATGCTTCACCTTCACCCCGATTCTCAACTCTTGACGTCACATTCCCCATCTACTCAGCCTCTGAGGTCAAAACAAAGCCAGGTACGGTGGTACACACCTGTGGTACTACCAGGGAGCCGAGACAAGAGGAGGACTGCAGGGAGGACAGGCCTACACAGGATGACCTCGCCTCAAAAAACAGCCTGTCCCTGATGAGGAACTGGAGGCAAGCTGAGCAGAGCTCAGCATGCAGTGCTCCCCTCTACAATGCCCTCCTCTTTTTCCCTTTTCCAATGTCCCTTAGACACTTGCTAAGAACGAAATCTGAGCCCACTCTTACTAAATCTCATTCCTAAAGAGGTTTCCTAGCATGGTACCCCTCTCCAAACCACCAACCCCAGCTTGGCCCTACTCCTTTGTGTTAGTGGCTATGGGAGACCCTGCTCCAGGACAGCAGACACAAAGCGATGCCTTGATATTCTAATGCTTTGGCAGCACTAATCTACCAGTAGCTGCAGCGAGCAGGTAGCCACTGTTGAGAGGCACAACAAGGCTTTGCTTTACTTCAACGAGACCCCTGACCATCCCTCCTTACCAGAACAGCTGGTCCAGGTGGCCCTCTAGGAAGAAGACATTATCCAGGTGCAGGCTCTGGAGGTGCTTCAGCTTGACAAACTGCGAGGTGAATTGGGTAATGATCTGATCCTTCTCCACTGGGGTGAGAAAGACACCCGACCAGAGGCTGGAGAGAAGGAGACTACGCAAGTTCCTCATACGGCCCAGGTAAGGGGAGAAGTTTAGCAGGCAGGTAGGATTATTCATGCAGAGCAAACTCAGTTCCTGGATAGAGTCCAGATCCAACCTCTCCAAGACTCCTCTGTGGTAGCTGATGGCCATAGACCAGATCTGGAGCTTGTTACAGCACAGGCGCGTCTGACCCTCCCTCTGACCCACCCACTGAACCAGGAAGGACTCTGCGGATGTTAGTGGACCTTCCTTGAGGACCAGGTCGATCACCACCTTCAGCAGTGGCCTCGCCTCGGTTCCTGCCTCACCCACCGCTGCTGGATTCTCACTGGGGTCATGAGCCATGAACACGGACCACGTGTCCCACATCTTCAAAGGCATACCGCGTAAATCCAGCACTTGGAGTCTGCACCTCCTGTGGGGAAAGCAGGGAGGAGCCTCAGCACGATGGCATTAGCCACTGAGCTAGTCCCATGCCCTTCTGCTTGGGTCCAGCCCAGTCCCACTTCTAGGGCCTGTGGAAAGCAGGGACAATCTTTGGCCCTCTGCTGATTGCGATTGCTGCACACTCCACAGCCCTTTCCCAGACGGCTCAGCAATGGCCAAAACGCCTGTAGCTCTCTAAGTTGGTGCCACCAAAAGCCTCTGTTTCATTCTACTGTCAACTCTCTTCTCCCCCATTCTATGTGACCCCAGCTGGCTGCTTTTTTATTCCTAGGGCATGTGGGTCTCACTCACCTGTGATAGGCCTTCTGGAAAAGCAGACCATCAAGCCCCAACAGGATAATCTCTAAAATTCTCCTATAGGCAGCTTTCCTCCTGATCATGGCTCCCAGTGGGAGGCAGGGAAAGGGCCAGGCCTGCACCATTGTCACCATGATGTCAGAGCAGTTCTTTCTGCAAGCCTTTTTGAACAGGGATGGGATGAAAACTGAGGGCAAATCCTCCAAAGCAGAGATAGCCAAGGCCCGGTTCCTCAGGAGGCTGTTCTCTGCCAGCTCCTGGAGTGAGAGTGGGGACTTAAAGCTCATCCTGACGAATCTTCCGGAATAAGGTACCTGGGGCAACACTGAGAAAGACGTCCTTTCAGAGGCAGGCAGATCTCTGTGAGTTCGAGACCAGCCTGGTCTACAAGAGCTAGTTCCAGGACAGAAAAAAAAAAAAAAAAAAAAAAAAAAAAAAAAAAAAAAAAACAGGCAAATTAAAAAATAATAATAAGAAGAAAGACGTCCTTTCAATCGATTGCTGAGGATTTTCTCACCTATGGCGGGAGCTAACTCAGGGCCACAGTCAGGGCTCTAAGAGCGAGCAAGCAGCAGAAACCTCAGGTTAGCTCCCTCCTCTCAGTGCTCCAGAGGACCACAAAAGCCACTGAACTTCCTGCTGGCCCCAGGAGTATGGTCTCTCAAGGATCCACGGCCCCAGCTCATCTCAATACTATCCATTTCCAGCTTTGGCACTGGATTCCATTCCCAGTGAGAAATGAGTCCTATGCACTCTAGAAGCTAAACTCCAGCTCCCTGGGGAAATGGCTGGGAATGGTGGCGCACAGCTGCCATCCCAGCACTAAGGAGGCAAAGGTTTACCTTCAGTAAGAGCCCAGCTTTTTTGCTGGGGTGGGAAGAGGGAGTAGCAATAACTATTAGAAAGAAAGGGCAGTGGGCTGGAGAGATGGCTCAGAGGTTAAGAGCACTGCTTGCTCTAGCAGAGGTCCTGAGTTCAATTTCCAGTGACCACATGGTGGCTCACAAGCATCTATAATGAGGCCTGGTGCCCTCTTCTGGCCTGCAGGCAGAACACTGTATACATAATAAATAAAAAAGAAAGTAGTGAGAGTGATGATAGGCCTGTAATCTCAGCAATCGGAAGTTAGAAGAAGCAGGGGTTCTGGGACAGCCTCAGCTACATAGAAAATTAGATGTTAGTCTAGGTTACATCAGATCCTGTCTTAAATATGAAATTGTAATACTATGTCTCCAAGACAGAGAGTTCTTAGAACGTAATTTAAGGACATACAAACTAAACACAGCACTCAAGAGTAAGAGGGATCACCTGAGTTTGAGGGCAACCAGGGCTCAAACACAGCGATACCTGATCTCAAAAAACAAAGAAATATCTTCCTTAACTCAAGTCATAAATAGAAAACATTATGAATCCCCAGGCAGTTTTAAGAACAATGAAGAGGAAGGTTCCCCTTCTCTGTTGCCTTTGCTCAGACACCCTGGGGTCTGCTGGTGATCAGTGATGCAGACTATTCTAAAACACAGCTCCTGCATCCATACTGGCAGCTGGATAGCTATGCTAAGATCGAAATTTTTGTTTCTGTTTGAGACAAGGTCTCCCGATGTCTCCTTGGCTGGCTTCAAGTCATCATGTGGGCTGGACAGTTAGCTCAGTGGTTAAGATGACATATTGCTCTCGCAGAGGGTGTGGGTTCAGTTTCCCCAGTACCCACCTGGTGGCTCACAACCATTCATAATCCCAGTTCCAGAAGATCTGATGCCCTCTTTAGATCACCAACATTCATGTGGTGCCCGTATTTTTTTTTCTTGGTTTTTCGAGACAGGGTTTCTCTGTGGCTTTGGA